CTGAGACCCGAACGCGTGACCTGTTGATTAGAAGTCCGACGCACTAACCAGTGAGCCACGGGGGCTGTGTCCTGTCGGTCGCGATCGGTTATGATTACAATGATAGAAGGGCCCTCCCAGGTCGCGTTTCGGGACATACTCGCCCCGTTTATCATACTGGCCACTGTGTGGCTGCTGGCATGGCTACAGAGCGAACCCCAAGGCACAACTGGACGACTGCATTCCGCAACGGGATCGGTGAGCGCTCTCCTTTACTAACGCTCTTCTCATTGTGAACACAACTTAGTAAAAGGGTTTATAAGTACGAAGAGTTAGAAGCAAAGCTAAACAACACAGGACTGCCTACTTCGATCGTAGTACCCGTCGTCAGCCCATAATGCTAGTACGCACGGGGTACAAGGCCGTTACCATTGGGTTGATCAGAAACCAGAGCCAAAGGCCCTGAGCACTTGAGTCACAGGTCTCGCACTCGTCCAGCTGGCGTCTAAAATATGCTAAGCCCCATTAAAATTGGCGCGCACTAATGTATCCCGCTGTCTGAGCGTTTCCTTCTTGCTATTAGGGCATGTCGGCTGATGTAAAAATCTCGCCTGAATGGCTGAATTTAAAGGGCATACAATTGCCCTAGATTCCGGGAGGATAGACGTTTGCCTCATGTAGACGGCAGGGGACAGAAGAGTAACGCGCCTTCGAGTGCTTGAGCAGGTAACATGGACTTCAGGGAAATTTCCCGAAAGACTTGTGATTGGCGTTTATTTTTTGGGCAAAATGGAGTTTTGAAGTAGGGAACCGGAACACTATGCCTGAGGACTGGAAGTTAGCATTTTTACTATGAATACAGTCTTCGAGGGGAGTGATCATGCACGCTGACCGGAGTTGCGACAGAGATAATGAAAAAATATCCTAGAATAACGGGAAGAACTCTTCATATTTGCGGTAGAGGAACTGTCACTGTGAGTCAGAAAGGTACGTGAAGGCACGACATGTTCCAAGGGTAGGATTGTGTCGTGGGGTCGTCTAA